CCTTCTTAAACTAAGCTTCAGTCCTTAATTCATTTCCAACAAGCTCTAAAAGTACTGGTCCTTAGGATTTTTAAAATGTACAGGACTTTGGAAAAATAGTACCACTTTTCTTTTAAAAATAAAATTCATATTTGTTTTGGTACTACCTCGTCCTAAGTAGAAATTAGAACTATAGGGAATGAAAAATGATAGTTTTATTTTGGGCCTTGAGAACCCAATAGGAATAATTTCCCTTTAGTACATAGCTTTCTTTTCTTTTTGGGCCACTCTTTTGGGCTTAGCCAAACTAAAACAGTTATGGTTCTCAAACCAAACGAAACTGATTTTGAAATTGGAATAGTTTCAATTCATTGGTAATTGGTAAAACATTACTTCCACTTTTCAACTTCTTGGAAGTTGAAACTCTTTTCTCTCACCATTCCATCTACCCAATTAATGGAACCTGTGAACCTCCCCTCTCTCTACCTCCTCTCTTATTTAAATCAAGACATCCCAATCCATTCCTATCACAAACAACTCTTTCAATATGAAAAGTCTTCAAACTCACTATCTGAGAAACACACCAAGAAAAATATCCTCAATGGAATCTCGGCAGTAGAGAAGGTCTGTGGTGAAAATCTCGTATTTTTCAGGATTACACCATACACCTTCTCTGGAACAACACTCTCTCTATCTTTCTTCTTATTTTGAGAGATGTGTTGCTTCCAAGATCTTAAATATCCACTTTGGATATTAAAGATCTATCAAACGCAATGCCAACCGCTCTGCCAAACAGAATCTGCTGAAGCTGAAAACGGTCAATGGCGGAAGATATCACAAAATCTCAAGACAAGACTTGGTTTAGGAACTATTGTAATTTGAATTGTATTTGTTTAAGAGTTTTTATTAACAAGCTGTATATTATGAGAAACTAAAAGAAAGTTACAAAATTAGTTCTCAGTACAGCGACCGGAACACTTAAACACTTGTGTGTCATCATCAAAAAGAGGAAAATTGTTGGGAAAAATATTATAGATTTTGATGATGATGTATTTAGAATGTAATAGGGACTTTAGGTCTCCCCAAATATTCAATGTAATTTTTCCTTTTAGAAATATTGTTAAAACCAAGTTCTTGAGATTTCCAATAAAGTTGTGATATTTCTTTAAGCGGTTTGATGCCTGAAGACTTAATCAAATTCTAAAATTTGGAAATTGGATATCTTGATCGGAAATGTCAGAGATAAGTAAGGATCTCTCAAAGCAGACGAGAATCCTTCTATCCGGAAGACTACATGAGAACCGGATATCTCGCTACAACCCGCTGAAGGCTAAGTCGGAAGACTAGCGCGGATTTCTTTCTCACCCGGAAGACTGAGTATGGCTCTTTCGGATTTGTCAGCTAAGAACCGGATGCCTCAAGGAAGACCGGAATTCTCAAAAAGCGGACAAGTGAAAAAAGACTTAGAAAATTATCTAAGTCTTGAATAAAGAAATTCTACCCATTGGTAAGGAAAAATCAATCTCTTGATTTTCAACGGCTAGATTGAAGATAATTATGCTGATTCAAGAACAAATCACTCGAAGACAAAGTCTGGACCTCTAAAATTTGAAGAACCTGTCCAGAATTCCTAAACAAGCACTAGAAGACAAACAGAGTAAAGTGCTACAGTCTAGAATTCTTGAACAACAGCTAGAAGACGGATTCTATGGAAAAAGGAATCCCTCCTTTAACAATTGGGTATGTCCAAACACCCATTCCAATGAGGAATCTTCAAATCACAATCTTCATTCAAAATTGAAGCCAGCAAATGCAACGGATAGTCTATTTTGATTCAACGGATAGATTATCCAATCCAGCTATAAATAGCATCCTTGGAAGACTAGAGAAGAAAACAACAACTCATCAACGATAAGATAAACAACAACAACATAGCTACCTCATTCACAGTTAGCCAAAAAATCTCTATAAAGAGAGATTTCTAAACTCCTTATCTAGAAGCAAACTTCTCCTCCTTTCAAAGAGCTATAGTGTAAATACTTGAAGGTTTCCTTGCCTCAAGTACCACACCACGTTGAAGGATACAACTTTTGATCAAACTTATTGATTGAAATGGGGTAGGACAACTTTCTCACAAGTTGGTCTTGCAAGTCCTATTGTTCGGACCTTGCAGTTGTTGAAGAAGCGTGACCTTCGAAGGAACAACAATGCCAGCACGAGTGCAGTAGCAACATTGGCCTTGCGAAGATATACCGTGCAGAAATTCACACAAGTGTAATTGTTGGTTCATTATTCAACAACCAACTACATAGTGGATTTTGAGGACGTAGAAGGATTACCCCACCTTCGAACCTCGTTAAAGTTTGCGTGTCTCTCTCTTTTATCTTTATTCTTACTTGCAATTATA